AAGAGAAATTTTTGTTCCAAGAACATTGTAAATATATTGTTTTCATGTAAAAATACATTTTTTAAAGAAATAATGTTTAACAGTCTTTTAACCCTACCTTTTCAAACACATTTTTCCCTTAAAATAAAAGTTTAAGATAAACATCTCATTTCAAATATTTTACAAGATAAATCAAATTAATTTTTCTTATATGAATGTGAGCCAAGTATTTGCTGCTTTCAAGATGTCATGACCTAATGTAACAACCTTTGGCTTGCAACTTAATAGCTTGAAAGTCAATTTATGCTGCTAATCAAAGAAGGTTGATACGTATTTGTAAATTTAAAATTTTTCATCTTTTAAAAGAAATAAATCCTAAGAAATAATATATTTTAAAAATCAATGATAAACATTTTTATTACACCAAAGATCTACAAAATAATAAAGTATCCTAATATTATTTTTTGAAAACAGTTGATCCTCGAACAACACAGGTTTCGACTGCAGAGGCCAATTTATATCCAAATTGAACAGTGTAATTTAAACCCATATTATTCAAGGGTCAACTCTGTGGTTGGTTGAAAATCTGTATATGGCCTATCTAACACCTCAAAGTTTTACATGTTAAGTGCAACAACCAATATATTTTTGCAATCACTTTCAAAGACTGGAAAGAAAATATGCTAATTATAAGAGCAATAATGCTTGAGTTACAGACTTGTAAATCTTGAATCTGCCACTTAAAATCTTAACTATAACTTCCTTAAAAGTCAATTTTATCAGATATAAAATGGGAGGTAACAACAGTATCCACCTTAGAGGGCTCTTCTGAGGAGTAACATAATGCACACAAAAGATTAATACAGTATGTGACACAGGAAGTAACAATAAATATTAGCTATACCTAGCAGTGACTTAAGGGTTAAGTACCTAACAAATTATATTCTTAAATATGATGTAATCATTAAAGAATTAAGAACTCTAAAAAAGAAAAAATAGCGTGGGAGACAGTTGGGGACATGCCCTCCAATGAAATATCCAGAATTATATTGCAATAATAAGGCTAAGAACCACAAAGGACTCATTAGACTAACATTTGAAGTCTCCTAGGTTACTTGTATTGTGTTTTGGCAGTTATTTCCTATACATTTTAACACTGCACTGTGTCATTTTCAAAGTACAATTCAGAAGATCTGAAGTGAATTTTATTTTCTTTTTTGAATTTTATTTTCTTTTTTGAATTTTATTTTGTCATGAATTTTTAGAAAAAATAATTAACTCATTGACCTAAACAAAAAAGGCATAGAAAAACTGTACACAAATTAAAAGTCATTTACATGTTATGTATTATATAGTAACCATTTTAGCAATTTCAAGTAATTTGTCTGGTATCTAATTAGTTTTCATACTGTTCATATTTCAAATCTCAAAAAATCTCTATTATTTATGAATAGTCTACTCTGATGACATGTCATATCTTTATTGGAGTGATCAAGTACTAAATTTTACAAAAACATTAAGCTATAGATTATGGTCCAAAATATTTTATTGGTGTTAATTTCCCATTTGAAATATTCCAGGTACTAACTTAGTTACCCAAACCATAGTCCACAATATTATTTTGAGTGTGACTATTAAGCATGTGAACAGTTCCTCTAATTTTTGATCATACTAACCTGAGTCAATGACATTTCCAATGGATATATTAAATGACAGAGCACAGATATAGGAGACAGAAAAACTAGGTCTGGCTCAGTCAAAGTATTTACTAAATATGTTAAGTTCAGCATGTCCTTCAACTTCTCCATGCCTCTCCTTCCTATTTCAAAAGAGGAGGATCCTACCCTCTTTTGTCTAACTCACGGGGCTATGGTAAATCACCTAAGAAAAATATATGCAAGTGCTCTGAAAAGGACACAGTGCTATATACATGTGATATCAACACACACGGGCTTGTTATAGTATTATACCTTGTTAGAATGGCCAGGCTATTAAAAGTGTAATTTAAGAGAAAGTTATCCTTGGAATTATCAGAAAAAAAAAGTAATATCTTTACCATGTCCTTTGGATAAGGTCTGAGAGCAGTTTTAAAACAATGCACTGATACCTATCCTATTACCATGTAAGAAACTACATCGGACAATGACCTAAGAAAAGATAAGCCTCATTTATTCTTCCCAGATTTTTAAAAAATGGCTATAATTTGGCCTTACCAGAATGTGTTTCTGTAGTGTTATTAATATTAATTTATAGCCGGCTGTTTTAGGCTTATTCTGGTAGTTACTTAACCCACTCTGAAAGTAGTCATAGGTGATCTTTATTTCTCCACTACCTTTTTTAAAAATACTTACTTTAAATTTTAGGGTTTTTTTTTCTGACTTAAACTCACAGAAAAATAGGTATAATAAGTTTTTAAAGAAGAAAAAAAATATTCGAAACTAAATTAATAAAAAACAAATGTTCCCTCACTTTCCCGCCTCTTCATTAGATTCTATGAATCCAAAAGAATTTTAGAACCACAAATCAACAAAAAAATCCATTTAATTTACACTATATAATTTTCCAAGGTTAAAAGATACAAAGCAAGAAAATAAATTAGGATTGATTTTTGTAGAAGATGATTCTGAAGAAATGAATGTGATTTTGAAGGAAACAGGATATGAGGACAAGATGAGAACAAAACAAAAAGTAAGATTTTGTAAAACATTGTTTGGTTTTACACATAGTCACTGAAATATTAGTATCTCTAAGTCACTAGCTACATGGGAAACTAGATGGGTAATCGATCAGGCATGTGGAAACAGATTTGGAAGATCTGATATAAATGATTGCATTGTTGAAGTCACAGGAGAAGAAATTATGAGGTGAAAGAGGGTCTAGATCAGTGGTTCCCAAACTTATTTGGCCTACCGCCCCCTTTCCAGAAAAAATATTACTCAGCGCCCCCTGGAAATTAATTTTTTTTAAATTTTAATAGCAATTAAACAGAAAGATATATGCCCCCAAATGCACCTGTGGCCATCACCGCCCCCTTGGATCGCTGCAGCGCCCACCAGGGGGCGGTAGCGCCCACTTTGGGAATCACTGGTCTAGATAATACTCATTAAAAGATGTCAGAAGAGAATGAGGGAAAATGAAATGACAATGATTTGAAAAATATAAATAGAATCAATACACTAGAGAAGTGTGGGATTTCAAGAATGGGAGTAGTCAAAAACTAAGGAAAAAACTTAAAGATTGGGTTTGACCAGAATTCCATAATAAATGTGAAGAGCTGATTTTAGTTTAGCAGTAACACTGGATTAAGTTAGCAATAAATTAAGGGAAGATAAGTAGTTAGAAAGGAGGGCTTCATAATAATTATTAATAAGTAAATAATAAATTCAGTAATTAGTTATTAATAGAAATAATTTAATACAACATGTTTCAGAATTGAGTCAGACTGTTTAATAATTATGTTTCAGACTAAGTTAGACATTTTGGGGGAGGTGGCCAGGGGAACCTTATTCCTGTAAGGAGGTAACAGAAAGATACTAATCAAGCCACCCCCTCCCCCTTTTTTTGAATAGCATAGTCAGCCCCTACATTCAGTGGTATGTATTTGAAAGGTACTTAGACCTTAGTAAGTAAAAAGGCAAAAGGCCCAGTTGGTAAGTGGTATTGAAAGCATAAAACAACAAAGTGAATAAGTCAATAATTTACAGTTGAAAACAATTTTAAATAAAATTCAAACCAAAAGTAGAAAACCTTAAAAATGTAACTGCTAGAGGCATGATATCCATGTGATGTGCAAAGTGATTAAATATTTAAAGGCATAATATAGATTTTATTTTGATATAGCCACTTTCATTCAATGACAGGATTTCTTGGATAATTTTAACCAAAGAAATTTCTACCTCAAAGCATTCATAAAATTGATAATTTGGGTACCTAATAGTTATGAAAAGTGTCTTCACAATTTTTAGTATGAAAAGCAATATTTAAAAAATGGAACATCAAAATATTTTATTTAAAATTTATTTTATGCCTAATCTAATATGTAAATGGAAATATATCCACATTCTATAGGTTTCTGAATTTCATTTCCTATTTTATTTTTATGAATATCTTACTTTCTTTTGAATCTGTATCACTTGACATTAAAGCTGTATAAAAGCCATGCAGTTTATTTACAATATTATACATTAATTATGTTTGAAGATTATACCAAAATTTCACAAAATTATAATTAAAATGAAAAGACAAGTGAAACATTTAGAGACTTTAAAAATTTTAGGTATAGAATTTTGCAAAGATTATTTTGGTTTATTTTTAAGTGTTATTCAAGCACTGGCTTGAAATAAGATGGACAAAAAATGCAAATGAGTAGGATTTCAACAAATGAAAAACTAAAACTGTTTAGCTAAAAGATGAAATATGATACCATATAGATGAAATACTTCCTTGTAGCAATGGGAATGATAAAACAGGAAAAAAGGTTATTCCTTAAAAGTCTTTCATAAAGAATAAGCTACCAGTAATAAGTCTATAAAAACTTTCAGAAATAAAGTTTCTTGAATTATGTTAATCACCAAACTTATGTGTTCAGTAGTGATTGGAGCTGTGAACCTTAAATATTTATTTTACTGTAGGGAGTCTCAGTTTCCACCTTTGGGGAGTGGGGGTGAAGGGGTGGGGGGAGAAGAAAACCAATCAGTAACCTTAGATTTAAGTAAAGATCCTGGTACCAATATCATGTACTTGGGAGTAGAGAGCTGCAGAGATTTCCAAGTCCACATACTTTTAGCTGTATAGAACAGTGTAAATACAGAGTAGTGTAAAATTTAGGTTGTTCAATGTATGATCCCCTATCAGAAAGTCAGTCCCTCATCCTTCAGAGTTTAAAAGATATCAATAGGGCCCTGGCCAGTTTGGCTCCGTAGACGGAGTGTTGGTCAAGGGCACATACCTCAGTTGCAGGCTCAATCCCCGACCCCATGTCTTTCTAAACATCGATGTTTCTCTGTTTCTCTCCCCCTCCGACTCTCTCTAAAAATCAATAGAAAAATATCCTCAGGTGAGGATTAAAAAAAAAATCAATACTGTTTCTTCTTCTCTAGCAGCATCTCGTCCAGCTTTCACTGTTGTGGCTGAAGGACATTCAGGTACTCAGACTGCCCCAGCTGATAAGTCGTGTTCCTTCCACAGTCGACGTACTGGTACCTCTCCTGGGATATCTGTTCAGAGTGTCCAAAGTATGTTGTTGTCACAGTGACTCTAAAAATAAAATAAATGCGGGGAAACATTGAATAGTTATATATAAAAAAGTTTTCTCAATTGAGAATACTTTTATACATTAAAATTCTCTCCAGAGAGAGATTATTTGATTGATGATAGCTTCATATTCTGGACATGGGTCTCTTAGGGAATATTTTCCCAACAGATAATAGAAATGCTGGCTGAGCAAGCCCTATCCAAATAATTAAATACAACAAATGTATTTTTTTTCAAAACACCTATCTTTAGTTAAAAATATAGCATAAGTTCATTATATTATTAAAAATCATACAGTTATAGAAAAAGGGTTCATCAAATGTTAGGCTCATGGCCCAAATTCCAAACCTATAACCTACAATGTTTTAACAACTTAGGGCAGTGGTTGGCAAACTGCAGCCCCGTGAGTGTGGCTCTTCCACAAAATACCACGTGTGGGCGCGCACGTACAGTGCGATTGAAACTTCGTGGCCACACTCAAGGGGCCAAAGAGCCGCATGTGGCTTGCGAGCCGCAGTTTGCCGACCACTGGCTTAGGGTAACACCCAATATACAAACCAGTAACATTATTTCTCCTCACTAACGCTAATGATCATTTACCAAAGAGAGCAAGGAATTGGATGCTAAGTTCAGTCCTCCCCTCTGTCCCAACCCCTGACATTTTCCTGAGGTCTTGCAAGGTCCAGGTTCACTATTCAGCAGCATGTGATCCTGTACTAATATTTCTTGAGCTCCCATCTCCTCATTTGTAACATGGGATAATAGTTATTTGACATCAGAGCACTCTTGTAAGACATAACACCCAAATGAGATGGCATTGTAAAAATGCTGCGTATGCTCCAAGTCAGTGATTTTCAACCCTGTTCAATTCAAGGCACACATAATCTAATTACTACAATTCTGAAACAGACCAAAAACTTATTTACTGATCAAAAATAAGGGTATATTTTTGATTTACAAATAAATAAAATAATAGTGATTACCTACCCTTTTTGCTTCAAAGTAAGTCAGATGCAAACTTATTATGCAACATGACCAATAAGATGCAACTCTATTATGTGACCTATATACTTATGGTTCATGACAGGGCATTCACACTAGAAGGCTATATTGTGTCGGCTGTTGTCATTTTTTTGTATTTGACAATCTAAGAGAAAAGAGGTCAGTGTCCCTGACTAGTCAGGTATTGCATGCTTTAAAAATTCTCAGAGTACACCAGTTGAAAATCGCTGCTCTAAGCCAATGTTATGAATCTGAAATTTAAACAAAGAAATGTCTTTTTCAAAAAATTTATACTCACTGCATCATGAGAACTATGTTATGCACTTTGATGGATGGCAGTGTACAGAAGTCACTGTTAAAGAGAAAACAATGTGAACACATGATACCTATGACATAAATGTAAAAGTTTAATTACAATTCTTCCTATGTTAAAGCTAAGTGATACTATTAAGATATAATAAGTAAGCAGTATTGGTTGATCATTTCCTCTATCTCATATAATGATTAATATTTTCATGCCTTCTTATTCTATAAACAAATATGCTTTCTTACTATAGCAGTTGTAGAGCTGTTTTAACATGGGCCACAACTTACTTTCACTTTTTAAAATGTTTTTATTGATTTAAGAGAGGAAGGGAGAGAGGAGAGCCAGAGAGAGCGAGAGAGCGAGAGAGAGAAAGAGAGAAACATTGATGTGAGAAACAACAATTGGTTGCCTCCCAGACCAGGATCAAATCTGAAAACTGGGTATATGTACCCTGACTGCAAATGGAACAGGTGACCTTTCAGTGCACGGATGATGCTCAACCAACTGAACCACTTTGGCCGGGGCAATTTACTTTTACTTTTTAAAAATAATTATTTTTTTTATTGATTAAGGTATTACATATGTGTGCTTATCCTCCCATTGCCTCCGCTCATGCCCTCACCCCCCTGGTGTCTGTGTTCATTGGTTAGGCTTATATGCATGCATACAAGTTCTTTGGTTGATCTCTCCCCTTTACCCTCACCTTCCTCTACGTTCCCTCTGAGGTTTGTCGGTCTGATCGATGCTTTTCTGTCTCTGGATCTGTTTCTGTTAATCAGTTTATGTTCTTCATTACATTGCACAAATGAGTGAGATCATGTGATATCACTGACTTATTTTGTTTAGCATAATGCTCTCCAGGTCCATCCATGCTGTTGCAAATGGTAGGAGTTCCTTTCTTTTTTATAGCAGCATAGTATTCCATTGTGTAGATGTACCACAGGTTTTTAATCCACTCATCTGCTGATGGGCACTTAAGCTGTTTCCAAATCTTAGCTACTGTAAATTGTGCTGCTATGAACATAGGGGTGCATATATCCTTTCTGATTGGTATTTCTGGTTTCTTGGGATATAGTCCTAGAAGTGGGATTACTGGGTCAAATGGGAGTTCCATTTTTAGTTTTTTGAGGAAACTCCATACTGTTCTCCACAGTGGCTGCACCAGTCTGCATCCCCACCAGCAGTACACGAGGGTTCCTTTTTCTCCACATCCTCACCAGCACTTGTCATTTGTTGATGATAGCCATTCTGACAGGTGTGAGATGGTACTACATTGTTTTTATTTGCATCTCTCGGATGATTAGTGACTTTGAGCATGTTTTCACATGTCTCTTGGCCTTCTGTATGTCCTCTTTCGATAAGTATCTATTTAGGTCTGTTGCCCATTTTTTTTACTAGGTTGTTTATCTTCCTTTTTTTTAAGTTGTATGAGTTCCCTGTAAATGTTGGAGATTAAACCCTTATCAGAGATAACATTGGCAAATATGTTCTCCCATGCAGTGGGCTTTTGTTTTGTTGATGGTTTCTTTTACTGTGTGGAAGCTTTTTATTTTGATGTAGTCCCATTTGTTTATTTTCTTTTTAGTTTCCATTGCCCTAGGAGCTGTATTGGTGAAGATAATGCTTTGGCATATGCCTGAGATTTTGCTGCCTATGGATTCCTCTAAGATTTTTACGGTTTCCCATCTTACAATTAAGTCCTTTATCCATTTTGAGTTTATTTTTGTGTATGGTGTAAGTTGGTGGTCTAGTTTCATTTTTTTTGCATGTATCTGTCCAATTTTCTGAACACCTTTTGTTGAAGAGATTGTCTTGACTCCATTGTGTGCTCTTGCATCCTTTGTAAAATATTGAGCATAGTGGTTTCTGGGTTCTCTAGTCTATTCTATTCTATTGGTCTATGTCTGTTCTTGTGCCAGTACCAGGCAGTTTTGAGAACAGTGGCTTTGTAATATAGCTTGATATCTGGTATTGAGAAACCTCCTACTTTGTTCTTCTTTCTCAGGATTGCTGCAGCTATTTGGAGTCTTTTTTTATTCCAGATGAATTTTTGAAGAGTTCATTCTAGGTCTATGAAATATGCCATTGGTATTTTAATGGGGAGTGCACTGAATCTATAAATTGCTTTGAATAGTATGAACATTTTAATGATGCTGATTCTACCAATCCATGAACACAGTCTGTTCTTCCATCTGTTTATGTCTTCCTCTATCTCTTTTTTCAGTGTCCTGAAGTTCTCTGAGTACAGGTCTTTTACCTCTTTAGTTAAGTTTATTCCTAGGTATCTTAATTTTTTTGGTGCAATGGTAAATGGGATTGTTTTTTTAAATCTCTCTTTCTGTAAGTTCACTACTGATGTATAAAAATGCCATAGATTTCTGGGCGTTAATTTTGTATCCTGCCACATAGCTGAGTTCATTTATTAAGTCTAATAGTTTTTTGATGGAGTCTTTAGGATTTTGTATGTACAGTGTCATGTCATCTGCGAATGAGTTTTACATCTTCTTTTCCAATTTCGATACCCTTTATTTCTTCTTCTTGTCTAATTGTTATGGCTAGCACTTCCAGTACTATGTGGAACAGGAGTGGTTAAAGTGGGCATCCCTGTCTTGTTACTGTTCTTAGATGAAATGGTTTTAGTTTTTGCCCATTGAGTATGATGTTGGCTGTGCGTTTGTCATATATGGCTTTTATTATGTTGAGGTATGATCCCTCTATTCCCACTTCGCTGAGGGTTTTTATCAAGAAAGGGTGTTGGATTTTGTCAAATGCTTTTTCTGCATCAATTGATATGACTATGTGATTTTTATCTCTCAATTTGTTTATGTGATGTATCATGCTTATTGATTTGCGGACATTGTACTATCCTTGCATCCCCAGGACAAATCCTACTTGGTCATGGTGTATGATCTTTCTGATGTAAGGCTTGATCCGATTTGCTAGAATTTTGTTGAGGATTTTGGCATCTATGTTCATGAGGGATATTGGCCTTTTATTCTCTCTCTTTGTGTTGTCTTTATCTGGTTTTGGTATTAGGGTAATGCTGGCTTCATGGAATGAGCTTGGAAGTGTTCCTTCCTCTTAAATATTTTGGAATAGTCTGAGAAGGATAGGTTTTAGTTCTTCTTTTGAATGTTTGGTAAAACTCTCCTGTGAAGCTGTCTGGCCCCAGGATTTTGTTTGCTGGAAGTTTTTTGATGACTGCTTCAATTTCCTCCATAGTTATTAGCCTATTGAGATTTTTAGATTCTTCATGATTGAGTTTTGGAAGACTGTATTTTTCTACAATCTATGTCCATTTCCTCCAGGTTGTCTAGTTTGTTGGAATAGAGTTGTTCATAGTTTTTTTTTTTTAAATTTTTTTTTTAACAATTCTTTGTGTTTCTGTGGGGTCTGTTGTTATTTCGCCTCTTTCATTTCTGACTTTGCTTATTTGGGTCCTCTTTCTTTGCTTCTTGGTGAGCCTGGCTAGAGGTTCATCAATATTGTTTATCCTTTCAAAGAACCAGCTCTTTGTTGTATTAATCTTTTGTACTGTTTTTTTTTTTTTTGTCTCTATGTCATTTATTTCTGCTCTGATCTTTAGTATCTCTTTCTCTCTGCTCACTCTGGGATTTTCTTGTTGCTCTCTAATTCTTTAAGTTGTAGAGTTAGATAATTTATTACCATTTTTTTTTTTTTTTTGCTTTTTTTTGAGGTAGGCCTGGTAGAGCTATAAACTTTCCTCTCAGGACTGCTTTCACTGTGTCCCATAGATTTTGGATTATTGTGTTTTCATTGTCATTCATTTCCAGGATGTTTTCAATTTCTTCTTTTATCTCTTTGGTAACCCAATCATTGTTTAATAGCATGCTATTCAGCTGGGAAGTGTTTGAATTTTTTGATTGTTTTGATTGTAGTTTATATCTAATATTAAGTCATATCGGTCTGAGAAGATGCTTGATATGATTTCAATCTTCTTGAATTTGGAGACTTTGCCTGTGCCCCAATATGTGGTCTATCTTTGAAAATGTCCCATGTGCACCTGAGAACGTATATTCTGTGGCTTTGGGGTGAAATGTTCTGAAGATGTTAATTAAGTCCATGTGACCTAGTGAGTCATTTAGAATTGCTGTTTTCTTTGCTGATTTTTGTCTAGAGGATTTATCCAGTGATGTCAGTGAGGTATTCAAGTCCCCTACTATGATTGTCTTGTTGATTTCTCCCTTGATATCTTCCAGGAGTTTATGTATTTGGGTGCTCCTGCATTGGGTTTACTAAAGTTATATCCTCTTGTTGTATCGGTCCCTTTAGTATTATGAAGTGGCCTTCCTTATCTCTTGTTATGGCCTTGTTATGGTCTGTTTTGGCAGATATAAGTATTGCTACCCCAGATTTTTTTTCATTTCCATTTACCTGGAAGATATTTCTCCAACTCTTCACTTTCAGTCTGTGTGAGTCCCTTGTTCTGAGATGGGTCTCTTGTAGACAGCATATATATGGGTCATGTTTTCTTATCCATTCAGCCACTCAATGTCTTTTGATTGGAGCATTTAGTTCATTGACGTTTCAAGTTATTATTGATAGGTACTTGTTTGTAGCCATTATTTTTTGTGCCTATGTTCCTTCTTCCTTTTTTATTTCTTCTTTTTACACCAATCCCTTTAGCATTTCTTGCATTGCTGGCTTTGTGGGGATAAACTCTCTTAGCCTTTTTTTTTTTTTGTCTGTGAAGCTCCTGATTTCCCCTTCAATTTTGAATGATAGCCTTGCTGGATAGAGTATTCTTGGATTCAGTCTCTTGCGCTGCATCACTTTATAAACTTCCCGCCATTCCTTTCTGACCTTGGTGTGTTTCTGTTGAGAAATCATTTGATAATCTAATGGGAGATCCCTTTTACGTAACTTTCTGTTTCTCTCTTGCAACCTTTAAGATTCTCTCTTTGTCCTGAATGTTTGCCATCATAATTACAATGTGTCTTGGTGTGGGTCTTTTTAGGTTCATCTCACTTGGGATTCTCTGTGCTTGTGTGACTTTTTTCTTCCACAAATCAGGGAAGTTTTCTGACATTTCTTCAAAAAGGTTTTCTAACCATTGTTCCTCTTTCTGTTGTTATGGCACTCCTATTATTCGTATGTTGCTTTGTTTCATGTTGTCCCAAAGCTCCCTTAGGCTCTCCTCCTGTCTTTTAATATTTTTCTCCAATTGAAGTTCAGTTTGGGTGTGTTTTGCTTCCGTCTTCTAATTCGCTAATTCGGTCCTCCGCTTCTCCTAGTCTACTGTTGAAACTTTCCATAGTGTTTTTTATTGCAGCTATATCACTCTTTATTTCCTCTTGATTCTTACATAAGTTGTTGATTTTTTTCATCCATCTGGTTTATGAACTGTATAACCTTTATGCTGAATTCTTTGTCTGACATATTGCATGCCTCTGTTTCACTTAGCTCCTTTTTGGCAATTCCTCCTTTTCTTTGGGGGTTTCTTTGTTTCCCCATTCTCACCTGAAGTATCTAGGTGTCGAGTCATGCGGGGGCTGCTCCTCCGGCAGTTGAAGCTCCTTGGGTGGCGGCTTCTCCTCGGGCAGTCATGGCAGTAGCTACTCCTCAGTTGGCAGTGGCTCCTCTGCTGTGTGCTGCTTGCGCAGCTGCTCGCAGCAGTGGTGGCTCCTCTGGCTGGCGGGGGCAGGCTGCTCACGTGGCTGCTGCTTCTTGGATGGCAGCGGGATGCTCATGCTGCTGCTGCTCCTCAGACAAGGGCGGGCTGCTCGCATGCTGCTGCTCCTTGGATGGGGGCGGGATGCTTGCACGGCTGCTACTAGTGTAGTTGTGGTGCCCTAGGCCAAAGCATTGGGCTGGCCAGAGGGGAGTGCGCCTCGGAACTCACAGGAGCCCGTGGCCAGGGTGGCTGAAGTCTCGGTGACAGTAGGACCACAGCTGAGGCAGCAGGTCCTTGGCGGGGTGGCTGTAGACCCCGGGTGGTGTCTTAGGGCACCCTGGGTGGAGGTGAGGCTGGGCTCCCAATCACAGCAGCTCTCCCCTTCAAGAAGGCATGGCCTCTGCAGTAGAGCCAGCCCCCCTGGGACTGTTTGCAACAGTCCTGCAGGGTCCAACTGCCCCTCACTCACGTACACACACACAGACACACACCCCCCACATTCACACACTCCCCTTTTGTTCCCTCACTCACTCACACTCTCTCCCTCACTGATGCCATCTTCTTGCCTCTGTAATTGGATCTGGAGTGTTATTGACCTGCTTGTGAATGGAGTCTCCTCTCTGGGTGTCTGGTTATGTGGCTCACTCTCTACCACACTGACCAAACAGGAGAAAATGCAAGACACAAGACCCAACACAAAGGCAACAAAACACGAATGTACTCATGACACTGATAACCCCACTATTAGTGACCACCAGAGAAAAGAGAATTGGGGGAGAGAAAAAAGAGCACAAATGATATCAAGGAGAGAAAAAATGGTAACAGAGAAAAGAAAAATAAGAAGAAGAACAAGGAAAAAAATATATACGGGGAGAAAACACCATTGAACAAACAAATAAACCAAAAAATGCAAACACCAAACACCCAGAAAGGAGGGTGGGGGCAGAATCTGTAGAGGCCGGGCTTATATACAGAAAGTAAGGTTAAGGAATTGGATGAATATGGGGAGGGCCTCAGTTCAGTATAGATGAAGTCGAAAGAGGATGAGTGGATAAGAAGAAAGATGTTACACCTGTCCAAAGGGACACGGCCTCGGTGCCATACGGCTTCCTTCCGACCCTCCGGGCTTGGAGGTCTCCCACCTCTCCAGCCCAGATCCCTGATTTTACCGTTCTCCAGGTGCCCTCTGCCCTTTCCGGCTGCGAATTGTCTCACCAGCTGTGTTCACTTTGCCAATTCAGGGTGGATGTTATTCGATTTAGTTGCTCCCTCAATCTGCTCCATGACAAGGCTCGGGACACATCTGCCTATTCTGCTGCCATTTTGTCTCTCTCCCTACTTTTACTTTTCACCTTTTGAAATTTCACTAATCAGTTTGTAGTTCAGAAATTTTATATCAGGCTGATAGAGGATAAAAATTTATCACTGTTTTACTTAGCAAGAGTTAATAATCATTTAGAACCAATTTATAAGGTTTAGAACATCAAAACAACAGAGTATTACACATTACAGTGGAATATCGGTTTGAACTTAATTTGTTCCACAAGCGATTTGTTTGAAAACCCAAATCATTTTTTCCTATTAGAAATAATGTAAATTGAATTAATCCATTCCAGACCCCCAAATGATTCTATTTTAACCTTTCTTACATAGAGTACATGTCTAATGTACTGTTTAATCTACAAATAAACACTTTATTTCTTAAATTTATCAAACCACCCCTTACTAGCCTTAAAGGAATCACTTTCAGCACTTGGTCCAGGGGTGTCTTTCAGGTCAGCATGCAGTGTCTTTGCTTGTTCATATATCACTGCCTCTGAGATGCTATCACTGGCTAATGGCTTTTCATTTATCCAAATCAACAGCAGTTTTTCTACCTCTTCAATAGCCTGTAATCATTGTTTCTTTCATACTGTTAGCAACACTAGCACTCTTTGTATTTTCCCCATTTTTTTAAGAACTTTACCTTCTTTTCCTAAAATATCAATGTCATTATATATTTTATTATTTTAATCTTAATTTAAATTCTTTATTGTTGAAAGTATGACATATGTCTCCTTTTTCCCCCGTTGACCTCTCCTGCACGCTCTGACCCTTTCCTAATGTTTTTATTGATTTTTAGATAGGAAGGGAGAGGGACGGAAACACCATTGATTTGCACGCCCTCTACTGGGGATTGAGCCTGCCTCCCAGGCATGTGCTCTTGACTGGAACGGAATCAGGAACTCTTCAGTCCACAGGCCAATGTTCTATCCACTGAGCCAAACCTGCTAGGGCCATTAGCACTTTTGAGGACCTCTTTATGTTTTAAAATTGTGCTAATGGTTGATTTAGCCAGCAACAAAAGCACTCTCTCCCAGTTGCCTGAGAGAGACTTTTTGTCATGCTGAGGTATCAGCATAAACATTGAAAACCAAAGTTTGGTTCATTTTGACAACCCAGATTATTTTTTCTGTGAACTGGGTTGAGAACAGAATTGTTCGAGATGAGAGACATTTGAGAAATGAGGCTTGACTGTATTAGCATTATTAATCTTCCTATAATAAAACATCAACAAATAATAGAATATAGGAGAATATGATTTTAAAATAGTAAACATAAAGTGACATGGTATATATGATCTTAATTATGAAAAAAAAAATCAGGTGTTGCACATAAATGTCATGTATGTTGAAAAGGGAGAAGAGAAAAATAGAGATGAGCAGAAGCCAGAAGGAACATTCCAAAATGTGGTCTTGTGACTGCTAAGATTATGGGAGATAAAATATATACATATTTACTTCATACTTTATAATTTAACGAGAGAAAATAAAAGTCAGAACTTACTACATGTAACTCATTTCCTCTGCTATGATAGTAGGTACTGTGTAATCAATCTGAAAGGCAAAAAAATAAAAATAAACAGAGAGAATAGGATCAATAATCAAACATTTCAGATACATTTCATAACTTCAAAGAGTTCAGAAATCTCTCCCTTTATGAGTCTGATGCTAAGATTTACTCTTATATATTCACTAGAGGCCTGATGCACGAAATTCGTGCAAGGGGCTCGGCCTTCGCAGCCACAGCGGCTTGCCTCGGCCCTAGCAGCCCCAGCTTTATCCAGAAGGTCATCCAGAAGGACATCCAGAAGGTCGTTCGGCTGTCCGGTCTAATTAGCATATTACGCTTTTATTATTATAGACGGGGCATATTTGAAAGTCAAGTTTTTGAGGAAATCCCCACCTCCCTCAAGGTAGTACAATAAAGTTGAGACTCCTTTAACTTATTCAAAATATTTCATGATTGAAGCTTACCTGTCTCATATCCAGTGGACCAATGTTTGTTATGTTGTTTAAACGTGACTTTCCAATAACTGTTTTTGAAAACTGAACTTGTGCAGTGATGTTTTCAACTTCAACAGCATAATAGTTATTGTTTGTTATATTTAGTGTGTTCTGCAAAAGAAAGGAGGCAGAAAATGTCTAAGTTATCTGAAAATAAGCAAAAGGAAGATGTATTCAAACTAATAAAAATGACTTTAGTTGTGGCCATGCTTCATTATTAGAATAAAAGTTTTAACAAAAATGTCAAAGGATATCAAATGAACCAATTCTTTGGTTTTATGTGAGTCCAATGTATTGAATATGCTACAATAATGTAAAAAAAAAAGACCCAGAAATGGTACAGGCCGAGAATGTTAGAAAAGGTATTTGTGGCATTAGCAAAAATTCAATAAAAATAATTTTTAAATTTCATCTAAATGTTTACTAAATGTTAATAAAGTTACTTCTTATTCTTTTTTTTTAAAAATATATTTTATTGATTTTTTACAAAGAAGAAGGGAGAGGGATAGAGAGTTAGAAACATCAATGAGAGAGAAACATCGATCAGCTGCCTCCTGCACGCCCCCCACTGGGGATGTGCCCGCAACCAAGGTACATGCCCTTGACCGGAATTGAACCCGGGATCCTTCAGTCCGCAGGCTGACGCTCTATTCACTGAGCCAAACCGGTTAGGGCAACTTCTTATTCTAATAAATACAAATATGGCCATATAGCAGTACTTTAAATAAATTTTGTTTAAAAGAAATTGGTATTTTAGCTTATAAACAAATAGAAATTTCTACCAGGTCACCATGGAGAAAAATGGAAAAGGTTTAAGTCTGTTTGGTTGGAAAAAGATAAAGGTGCACCACTTCTATACTTAGGTAACACTAGGTCCAACTTTTTAAATTCTAATTCACAACTGTCTCAAATTCATTAACAAATGTTGAAAAGTAAACAGATTATAAATATATTTTTTGGTAGCAATCAATTGTTTAATTCATTTATCCTCCTAAAGGCATTTTCAAATGCTAAATGATTCTGCATACACAACTGACCATATTTATTATTCACCACTTTCAGCAGAACCAGAAATGACAGAGAAGGTCAATACTGTAGACACACAGAAAGCAAACTGACCAGCGAGCTTCACATTTAACCTCTCAACAAGGACAAAGGTTCTAATTAACATCATAACGGAATGAAGTAATCTATTATTAATATAAATTTTTACTTACTGTGATATTTAAATATATTGTACGCTTTACATCATCATAACCGACGTATGCTGATTTGACACCAATGTATTTCACGTCGATAGAGCGAGGGAAAAGGAAAAACACAGCCAATCCAGAAATCAGCAGACAGACAAACACAGAAGCCATCACATACAGTTTTCTGAAAAAGAAAATGGAGTATTTAAATATATGTGCACCAAAAATTACACAATGAAGCATTTAGAAAGGATATTTTCAACTTGAATTTCCCCCCTATTATGCTAGCTGTATAAGATGTATTTTATCAACTTTTTTCATTATAAAAGTATTGAGTAGGCTTGGGTCTGAGTCTACTAAGTGCTGAAATGTTCTCTTTATAAGATGTACTGGTGTTTACCTTATTGGAGACTGGGATTTCAGGCTTATTACACATATAACATCACTGCAGTGATTCCCAAACTGGGCTGCACATTAAAATCAAGACAGGGAGCTTTAAAAATATAGATTTCAAGACTTCCTCCTCAATTCCCTAAAGCAGAATCTTCACATGTGAATTTTGCCACTGTGTTTCCCTAAAGTGACTACTCATCAATAACCACCTCTGACGCTCTTAAAACAATGTGATATCAACACGGCTTATCAATTTCACCTCAAGTTTATAGCCATTCTCTGTTGTTATAAAAGGTATTAAAAGATGGCCAGTATGAATATCCACTTCTATAGTTTTGAGATTATTTCCCTAGTTGCTGAATCTTTTCTCCCCTTTATCCATATTCTTGCCCTGTGCAAACTGGATTCTACCCCCGGCAGGTTTTTCTTAGGATGTGCCTGTCCTTTTTGTAAGAGCTTTTATCCAGTTTCCCTCAGGTCTTTGAAGGCTTAGGATGGCCCAGTTCTCTCTGATCTTTTCATGGTCCCTTGCTGGATCCCTGTGGCCTTTTTTGCACTCTCTCCACGCTGGAGCATGAGGAGCACTCCCATTTTAACAGGTTATTCTCAAAGGTATTTGCTGAAAGTCCTCTGAGTGGGATCCTCTTCTTATAGGTATTTGCTTTGGGTATCAGTGGCATTAGGACTCTTAGGAACTCTCTATGTACTTCCATTCACAATTTCCACACAGCTGCTCAACATGTTAAGTCCTTGCTGTCATCAAGGCTTGAATACCCATATTTATCCTGTGGCTAGTGGGAACACCCATTTTTAAAAAAATAAACATGTTTTCTCTATGTGTGTTTCTTACTATTATTTTAACTTTGTCTGTTTTAATAAATGGATTTGAGAAGATTCAGATACTATGTTGCTTTCAAGACCTTACCCCAACCAGGAATCTTTTTTTATTTTTTGATGACACAAAAGCATATGAGAGCATTACTTAACAACCTGATAGCATTTTTCCCTTTTAATAGTGTTAACCAGAGTAATTATTATATAGTAAAGGCCTGGTGCATGAAATTCGTGCACGGGGGGGTTGGGTCCCTCAGCCCAGCTTGCACCCTCTCCGATCTGGGACCTCTTGGGGGATGTCCGACTGTCGGTTTAGGCACTATCCTTGAGGGAAACCGGCAGTCGGACATCCCTCTTGCAATCCGGGACTGCTGGCTCCTAACTGCTCGCCTGCCTGCTATCCTAATCGCCCCTAACACCTCTGCCTGCCAGTCTGATTGCTCCTAACTGCCTGATCGCCCCTAACTGCTCTCCCCTGCTGGCCTAATTGACCCTAGCTGCCTCTGCCTCGGCCCCCACCACTGTGGCTTTGTCTGGAAGGAAGGCAGGATGACCGGAAGATGTCGGTCAACCCAGTCTAATTAGCATATTACCCTTTTATTAGTATAGATAATTTGAAAAGCAAAAAACAAAACAAAAAACAAAACAAAACCCCCACAGCAAAACAATTTGCCACTTTCTTACTAGTATAATCACTTACGTTCTTCTTGGCCTTAATCTCTGATCACTATATGGAATCAATGCCACCAGCTGGTTTTCTTGCCCTAAGAGTTAAAGAAGTTTAAAAATTTATTAACATGGTTAATTAAAAATGTAGTGACTGCTCAACAAAGTCTGGTTTGGAGAGACCAAAATACCATGTGGTTCTCATCACATTCCTTTAGTAAACTGCTCTCAAAATCTTCAGAAATTACCCAACTTGGATCTTTGTATTAGCCATTAAAGCACCAAAGTTAAATCCTCTTTCAAAGCTTTCCATAATGCTTCAATTATTCCTTCCTGACCCCTCCATAATCCTCCCCTCATTTACACTACCCCCAACACACCCACATATATATATTTATTATGTATATATGTCTCTTTGTGTATATATACATATTGCATCTTTGTGTATATATACATATTGCATCTTGGTATTCATTTAGCTAAACTACAATCCTGGTTAAAACCAACCCTTTAGCTACTGTGCCTATAGCCACAGTTAAATGTGAGAGAGAAAAACATCCAACTATACTCACTGGTCTGATTTTAGATCACTAATCTCAAGTAGCCCTTAATGATGCCAACAATCATACTAATTTCTTTAGTTCACACTCTCAACCTGACATACCAAGACCACCATTTCATAACTTTAACTTTTTTTGAAACATCCCATATCTTCTTCCCCATACTCATTCTGAGCACAGAATGTAGCAAACAGAAGAGAACTTTCGCAAGCTCCCACCACCACATCCATCTAAACTATCTACTGCCGTGTCCACACATTCTAACTTCTCTTCTGTTACTAAGAGCAGCCCTCTGCACTAGGTCTAATTCTCCTGGCTCCTGCATTATCAATGCTTTCTCTGTGCATCATTCTCATTAGCAAATATTATTCACTCCATCTTATAAAAATCCCTCTCCTGACCTCACAGCCCCCTCCAGCTATACCACTTCACTCCTTTTTTACACAGTAAAACTCAAAGCAAAAACTATCTTCCCACTATATAACTGCTCCTCCTATGTACTTGATTCTACTCTACACACGATATACATACTTTTGCAGGCTACCAAAACTTTACAGGTCCCCAGTGGTCTTTACACCACAAATCCAATGGTAAGTTCTCAGTCCTCACATTAATGTATCTATCAGTAATATTTAACACAGTTGATCAATTTTTCTCCTTGGTATATGTTCTACATTTACCTTCTAGGACACCAAATACAGATTTCCTCCTTCTACACTAGCTGCTCTGTCAGTGTCTGCTAATTCTTTCTCAAGTAACTGTCCTCAAAATGTAATGCTCGAGGGTTCAGTGCTAGAGTTTCTTCCTTTTTTCCCCCTATACTGCTGAACTTGGTGCTCTTGTTACCTGTGAGACTACAAGACCTTGGTTCTTATCTTCTTAAAGGAAAGATTTCAACCAAGAGACAAAGTGCAGAAGAGCAAGCAAGACTTTATTGACGGTAGCAAAAACACATTTAGAAACAAGGAAGGGCATAGAAGAAGCAACTGGAGAACCTCGGCTACGCTGCCTTGGCTCACTGGGAAGTAAGAGAAAAGGGGGCCTTGGAGACAGGTTCAGGGTTAGCCTGGGACACATTGCTGCAGCTCATTGCTCCCCTGGTTGCAAGTCTTATGGGGTCCCTTAGAGTTTAGGAGATTCATGCCTGTGGGGGAAGAGAATGGCATGGCCTGCTGGGACCTGTTTTCATGGGGTTTTAAAGGGTGGGCATTTAGGAGAGGCCTTAAGGGAGGATCAACAGAATACCCATTAGCTTTATGCTGATGTACCAGAATGAGATTTATTCTCTTAACCTGTCTGTCCTTGGGAGTGGTTAGCAAATGGCACTAATTGGATTTCTGTTATCTGTCTCCCTGAGTAGAGTGATTTATACTATTTACCCTCTGGTTGGGGAGAAGTACAAACCATTTATTTACTCTTAAGTGTCCTTGTTTAGGGAAGATAGGATTTACTAGGTGGCTGCAAACTGCTGTTTAATTATCTGTTTAGTTTCCCAATTTCACTTGTCCTAAAATTTTCCTACCTTCTTACTATCCTATAACACTCTCATCCATCTCAGCTTTAAGTATCACCTGTGTACTGATGACTCCAGCCTACACATTGCACTTGAATTCCAGGCCCTCATTATAACTGCCTATTGCACATACCCACTTAGATGTCAAATATGCATCTCCAAACATACATAACTAAAACTGAGCTCCTGAGCTCTCTCCTGACATACACCTTCAAACCTTTTCCCTATCCTAATAACTAGTCCATTCTTCCAGTTGCTCAGACAAAAAATACCTTTAGAGTCATCCTTGATTTCCCACTATCCACTTCCAGCTGCCAAAAAAGCCCGGTGGCCATACCTCAAAAACATATCTAGGTAATCTTCCCCTTCCCTAGTCCGGTACATTAATCCCTCCAACGAAAATAATCCTTTTATTCTCAGTCACTATCACTGCAAAGATAAAATCATCACATTCAAAGGCCAACTCAAATATAATTTTTCCCAACCCAAGGCATTTATCAGAGACTCTGCTAGACCTTATACTGCCACTCTGTCCTTTCCCTGGGCTTCTCCAGAGTCACATCATCAACTCTAACCAAGCAGAGAGTGGAAGAGCACAAACGTACTTTTACTATTTCTATTGTTGCCATTGCTCCTAAAATAGCCTGAAAACAGCACACGGGAATTATTTCCTTCTGATTTCTATGATATTCCACAAACTGATTTTTTTTTCCTATTTGACTCATCATCATATGCCATCCCTCTTCATGCAGTTCCTCTTTTGCCAATGCCTGAAATCATTCTTTTTTAAAATATATTTTATTGATTTTTTTACAGAAAGGAAGGGAGGGATAGAGAGTTAGAAGCATCAATGAGAGAGAAACATTGATCAGCTGCCTCCTGCACACCCCCTCCTGGGGATGTGCCCGCAACCAAGGTACATGCCCTTGACCAGAATCGAACCTGGGACCTTTCAGTCCGCAGGCCGACGCTCTATCCACTGAGCCAAACCAGTCAGGGCTGAAATCATTCTTTAAAGGGAAAATAAAGGGCACATACCCCTAGGAATTCTTCCTGTTCCTTGACAAGTGGGGCAGGTGACACTATCTCTTCCTGTAAATTCCACATATGGAAACTGAGAGACATCTCCACTTCTTCCATCTTCATTATGGACTTCATTACTAACCAATCCATTCCTCATGTTTTCAGTTGATGCGACTCCACCGTAAGCATCTTCTTTATTTGAATGCAAAGGCAAATGGGAAAAAGACTTTCCCATGTCTAAAGAAAAAGAATAATCTTATAGTAAACTTCACACACAAAACATGTATACGCAAGAACCGTATGGAACATTTATATGAATCTAATTAATTTAGAAAACTTCAGGGGAATGTTCATTCAGACAGACTACTTTGGGAATTAGAATTATATTCGATCAAAGTAATGTCTGAAACAATGAAGCCACTTACTTGAGTCCAAAAGTGTTTATCTATCAAATATCTACACTAATAAAAGAGAAACATGGTAATTAGCGTACGACCGCTACGCTTCCCATTGGCTAATCAGCATATCCTTATGCAAATTAACTGTCAGCCAAGATGGCGGCCGGCAGCCAGGCAGCTGGAAGCGAACATGAGGCTTGCTTGCTCCAGTGACTGCAGACTCCAACGTTCCCCGCCTGACTTGCCGGCCTCTGAGTTGCAACTCTAAGCAACTATGTACTATGTTGCAAATGTAGGAGCTAAACAAAACCCCAGAAACCAGCTTTCAGCCTGCCGGGATCTCAGAGCTGAAGTTATACATTGTTTCGATTATAGAACGGCAAACAAACCAGATACGAAGCCTCAGAGCTAGAGCCAGAGCTAAAGCTGGCCCAGAATAAAATAAAAAAAAGAGAAAAAAAAGGAGCGGTTGGGAGCTTCAGTCAACAACCGCCAGCCTGAAAGCAGCCCTCAGCCCCTCACCCAGACTGGCCAGGCACCCCAGTGGGGACCCCCACCCTGAAGGGTGTGTGACCAGCTGCAAACAGCCATCATCCCCTCATCCAGGCTGGCCAGGCACCCCAGTGGGGACCCCCACCCTGAAGGGGGTGTGACCAGCTGCAAACAGCCATCATCCCCTCATCCAGGCTGGCCAGGCACCCCAGTGGGGACCCCCACCCTGAAGGGGGTGTGACCAGCTGCAAACAGCCATCATCCCCTCATCCAGGCTGGCCAGGCACCCCAGTGGGGACCCCCACCCTGAAGGGGGTGTGACCAGCTGCAAACAGCCATCATCCCCTCATCCAGGCTGGCCAGGCACCCCAGTGGGGACCCCCACCCTGAAGGGGGTGTGACCAGCTGCAAACAGCCATCATCCCCTCATCCAGGCTGGCCAGGCACCCCAGTGGGGACCCCCACCCTGAAGGGGGTGTGACCAGCTGCAAACAGCCATCATCCCCTCATCCAGGCTGGCCAGGCACCCCAGTGGGGACCCCCACCCTGAAGGGGGTGTGACCAGCTGCAAACAGCCATCATCCCCTCATCCAGGCTGGCCAGGCACCCCAGTGGGGACCCCCACCCTGAAGGGGGTGTGACCAGCTGCAAACAGCCATCATCCCCTCATCCAGGCTGGCCAGGCACCCCAGTGGGGACCCCCACCCTGAAGGGGGTGTGACCAGCTGCAAACAGCCATCATCCCCTCATCCAGGCTGGCCAGGCACCCCAGTGGGGACCCCCACCCTGAAGGGGGTGTGACCAGCTGCAAACAGCCATCATCCCCTCATCCAGGCTGGCCAGGCACCCCAGTGGGGACCCCCACCCTGAAGGGGGTGTGACCAGCTGCAAACAGCCATCATCCCCTCATCCAGGCTGGCCAGGCACCCCAGTGGGGACCCCCACCCTGAAGGGGGTGTGACCAGCTGCAAACAGCCATCATCCCCTCATCCAGGCTGGCCAGGCACCCCAGTGGGGACCCCCACCCTGAAGGGGGTGTGACCAGCTGCAAACAGCCATCATCCCCTCATCCAGGCTGGCCAGGCACCCCAGTGGGGACCCCCACCCTGAAGGGGGTGTGACCAGCTGCAAACAGCCATCATCCCCTCATCCAGGCTGGCCAGGCACCCCAGTGGGGACCCCCACCCTGAAGGGGGTGTGACCAGCTGCAAACAGCCATCATCCCCTCATCCAGGCTGGCCAGGCACCCCAGTGGGGACCCCCACCCTGAAGGGGGTGTGACCAGCTGCAAACAGCCATCATCCCCTCATCCAGGCTGGCCAGGCACCCCAGTGGGGACCCCCACCCTGAAGGGGGTGTGACCAGCTGCAAACAGCCATCATCCCCTCATCCAGGCTGGGCCCCGGGCCGGGCTGGGGGCCCCCCCCCCCCCCCCCCAGTGCACAAATTTTTGTGCACTGAGCCTCTAGTCTATATATATATTAAACCCAAATATGCAAATAGACCAAATGGCGGAACAACCGGTTGCTATGATGTGCGCTGACCACAAGGGGGCATGCGGGGAACATGGCAGGCATCAGCCATGGTGGGATTATGGAGCAGGTGAGTGGGGGCCAGATCAAGGCAGGGCGTCCGTCGCTATCATCAGGGCTAGCCTCTGGTGGTTACGAAAATTCTTTGCTCCCGTGTGCTGTGGTCCCGCCTGGTGCTCAATACCATCACTGGGTGTGAGCGGCAGCTGCTGGCCCCGATCTCCCCTCAGAGCTTCTCCACCTCCCCCTGCTCCTGGGTGATCGGGGTAGCAGCCACTGCTTGCACCTGCTTATGGTGCCGGCCCCGCTCACAACCGCTGCTGGCGCCGGCCCCAATCTCTCCGCACTGTCAGCGGGTGCGAGTGGGGTCGGCGCCATCGGCATGTGGGAGCAGCGGCAGCAGGAGTGGAGTTGCCAGCAGACAGGGGACCAGGGGCCATGGCGGAGGGGCTGGGCGGGGGAGGATGGGCCAAGACCTGCCCCTGTGCCCACCGCAGCCTCACGGTCCACAGTTCCTTTCAAGTGCATGAATTCGTGCACTGGGCCCCTAGTTATGAAATAGACTTGTGATGAGAATGGGCTTTCAAACAACATTATAATTTAACAAGTCTATACTTTCTCTGAAAAGTAATGTGGGCTTCACATTTCTTAGAATAAAACACAAACACATACTACCTTTAAACCAATTAGCACCAAAGGCAAAAGTTTCTTTGGGCAGATAACAATTAGGTATCATCAAGCATATTCAAAGTAGTATTTTTCAATCTTTTAAAATTCATGCTCCTTTGTGATAAATAAAATTTACAATCCCTCTCATCCACACAGTTCTTTGCTTTAAACACTTAGACACTTGCAACAAAAACAACTCAAAAACCAAATTCTACATGTTTTTCTCTCATTCAGCAGTGGGCAGGGCTAAAATTATGAAAGGAACATTCCAAAATATTGACTATAACTTACCCCCACAAAACATCAATTTCAAAATTTTAGCATAACAGTGTCAAAAATAATGTGGGGAAAATTAAGTATAAATTTAAAGCCATTTTTATTATGTGTAAGTTCAAAAACATAACTTATGACTTCTACAAAAATGCATTATCTTCTCTTGATTTGTTTCAATGACATTCAATCCCAGCCAGATCCATTCTTGCCAGGCACAGGTATGTCTTAGGAGAGAAAGACACAGAAGGCAAAACCAGTGGCTCTGTCTGGACCTCATTAGCAGTGGCCTTGATGAGTCGGCCTCAGGAAGGTGTGCTTGCCCTGCCTGCATGCCTCAGGCATGGCTCAGCTCAACCTATGAACCAGGAGGTCAAGGTTCCGCGGTTGCAGGCTCTATCCCCAGTGCGGGGCGTGCAGGAGGCAGTTGATCGGTGATTCTCTCTCCTCGTTGATATTGATGTTTCTCTCTGTCTCTCCCTCACTCTCCCTTCCTCTCTGAAATCAATAAAATTAAAAAAAAAGAAAGGTGTTTGTTTCCAGGCTAGTGGACAAACACCAGACCTTGTCAGGTACTGGGCATCCCCACACTTCTTACTGAATTTTCCCCAGAACCCTTCTGACTTTAAGCACTTCTATTCCTGGCGGCTGGTTGGCATATAGAGAGGTTCTAGGCCCCCTTCTCTTCCGTGTGCTCAGAGTGTTGTTTGTTTGTTTTATCGCAGCCTTTTAATTTTCTGAAAACCAATATGGAACTCAGACTCGGTATGAAGAGAGAGAGAGAAAAAAGTACAGCAGTCCATCCCATTTAAATGGGTCGTAACTTTCTGCGATAACGAAGGAAGCCAGTCCCTTCCGTAAGCTACACAAACAAAACAAAACAAAACCGAGCAGACAGTCTACTCCGGAAAGGTTACCACGAAGACCCAGTCAACCGTGCAAGAAAACTCAAAAATGGCAAAACCCGCGGCCGCACAAGGAGGAACCAACCCAGCGCGCCCAGGGCTTGGCCTGAAGCCCGTCCCCACCGCAGGAGTCGGGGTCAGGGCAGGAGGCGGAGGTGGCACAGCCCCTCCATCCACAC